TGCGTGGTGCAGAATGTGGATGTGTTAGGTGCCTTTAAAAAAAAAAAAAAAAAAAGTTCACCACGACCACCTACATATGACTATGGTTGTGTATATGCATTGATGAATTACATGTTGATGTGATGTGTGGACTCCCAGCGATATCGACTACACCGGGATTGCGGTTTGAGGCTCCCCATACAATATGTCGCATTGTGTGACTTTTTATTAATCCACATAAAGATGGTGGCAGTCAAAGATGACACGCGTTGCGACAGACATAAGACGTGGTCGATAATCATGAGGAAAGTGTGGATATAATGAAAGGCGAGGCTCACTCCCTTTGGAGCGGCGAGGCGCAGGCTGCCTGTACATTTTCACACCAGGTTTTGCAATTTTATTCGTTGGTAATTCTGAAATTGAAAATATGGTTACGTAATGTTCTAAAACACATTATTTGTGAGAGCGAGCGAGGCAATTGAAACTATGCAATGTGAACAACATGCACAAAAAGTCCATGCGTGACAGCTTAGTTTCAGACTGAATTTAGCAACATCCACATCCAGTACATGGATGAGAAAAGCTCCAAGTATTTCCAAAGCATCGCCCTCTGGCAGACAGACAAACAGCCATGAATGCAACTGCAAAGTCCGAGCTGACGATTTATTCAACATCAATTCAAGGACAAGGTGTGATGATTAAGTTTTGAGTGTACATGCATAAAAACCCTCAGTGCTTGTGGCTAGTTTAACACAACGCAGCACAAGATAGGTTGAAAAACACGGATTCATTCAGATGTTCACATTCTAAAAAAATTATTGAAACTGAATTCTTTGCTTCGGAACATTGTTGATTTCACACAGTTGACTGAGAATGGGGAGATTCCCATTGCTTCTGAGAAGTCTTCCTCTTGGCTCATTGGAAAAGGGACACCCATTCAGCTCTGCACTGACCTGAGGATCAGGAGTTTTTAAACATTTTGTATCCAGGTTACAGGGGGGACATTTTTCCAGGGCTCCCTCATAAACCTAGCACCAAATCAACGAAACGAAAATGTCTTACAGTGACTTTTCCAACTTCTCTAGCGACTGAGTTTAGCTAGTTTAATTCCCGCAAGGGTGGCACGTTGGCGACTGGTTAGTACAGGGGTCGGCAAGCCAAAATGTTGAAAGAGCCATATTGGACCAAAACAACGAAAAACAAATGTGTCTGGAGCCGCAACAAATTAAAAGCCTTATAACGAAGGAAACACATGCTATATGTATCTATGTGAGCTATATTAGTCTACTATCAAAATGACGTTGGCTACAAATACACAATGAGCCTTCCCGATTAAACATTTTTTTCCCCTGCAGTGCATCCAGTAGAGGAGCGGTGCCCAAACTTTTTTTGACCAAAGCTCTAATTTTCGGTCAACCAGCCTCCCACGATGGACCCGTGACCGCACACGTCCGCAAACACAGGCATTTACACATGCATGCCATAATGCGCATCAGCCATAACGGCAGCTAAGATGAACGAGGCACGGGATGCATTTTTTCAGCGTGTTAACTTTCGTAGCTGATATGTACCATTTTAAAATGCTTCTCTCAGTCCTTCAAATTGCCATTCTTTGCAGTTCCCTCAGTGAATTGGACATGAAACGCCGTTTCTTCTGACAACAGCCACCTGCCTGGCATCCCGCTCAGCTAATAGAAACGTGTGTCGTAGGCTATGACGCAAATCTTCGTTGACAGAAATGTTAAAATGTAATATTTATTCGACATATTTTTACAGCATTGGAAAATGTTAAGAATGTTTGTCCTCCAACAGAAACCATATTCAAACAAAAAAATATAATTTCACTTCCCCATCTTTTTCCATTTTGAAACATTTTAAAAAGAGCTGCATGCTTTTTAAAAGCACATCCACCTCACAGTACAGCGATCCCAAAAGAAATGATAGCAACAGCTCTCCATGGCACAGTGGAGAGCCACGCAACCATCACGAGAAGATCATTTTATGAAATTTAAATTCCACAGTACTCTATTTTTGACTGACATTATGTTTCGTGACATGGGGGCACCATACAGTACGCTGCTGTGACATAAATGACAAATGAGATGCTAGTGTAAAGAAATGCAGCTTACTGCTATTTGAAATTGAAAAACGCTAAAAAATTGGTCTTTATCATTTGCTTTCATATTTAATCTCCCTTGACCCTTGTCCGCCACTTCCCTCCTTTTTTTTTCAAATGATTATAACACTCGGGATGTTAAAAGTGCCTTTTATTTTGGACAACCTACAGCATCTCCCATGTTAAAATGAGTGGATAAAGGACATTGAGGTCAGAGCTTGAACCTCGGTGTGTACGTGTGTGTGTATGCTCTATCAGTGCAGTTGAGCTCCACAAGTTGACAGTTTGCTATGACAGTGAGTCAAAAACCAACTGGCTGTGTCCTCTAATGCACAGCAGATATTCCTTTGAAGTGTGTGCGTGTGGGATTATTATTAGTAACATCTGTTCGATCAGTTAACCCCTTCTAGGACTCAGAAAGCCGACTATCGCACCTACGTTACACAGACCGTTTCCAGCACCATCTCATGCAGCGTTAATTAGGAAGTATCCTACTTTTGTAGTTTTGGGTATACCTGCGAGTGAATGGCAACAAGTTCAGGGCTTACCCCGCCTCTCGCCCATGGTCAGCTATGATAGGCTCCGTCCAGCACGCTCGCAACCCTAGTGAAGATAAGCAGTACAGAAAACGGACAGTTTTGGGCACTTCAGGTAAAAGTCAGACGTGTATGTGCTTTAGCAAACCACAAAAGCATCATGCTATACTGTATGCGAGGTCATTAAGTAGCACTGACGCGCAATCAGTCAACCAAAAAGTAGGTTTCAGTTTAGGTTTTGCAAACAATAGCAGCGGGGGAAAAAAAAAAGCAATGAACTATGGAAACCAGAATCACGGATTACTTTTTGAAAATGTTGTACCATTTTTCTGTTCTCGGGCGTAATTCACTTTCTGTTGTTGCTGTCGTTGTTTTTATAGAAAGGTACTTTTCCAGCCGCCACCCTTGCAACTCAGCCGTCCAAGATTTGGGGAAATGCTGGAATGCGGATGGCCGAGCAAAACACACGAGAGGAACCATTTTGATGCAACAAGACAAATTCACATCATCTTTGCAGTCCCCTGTCTACCTTCATGTGGCCTTCAGCAAAGTAATGAAACACCAGGGGCTTCAAGCGAGTCAAGAAGAGTGCTGACGATTTTAAGGGCAGTGACTGACAAGGGCCCTAGAAAATATCAAATCCGAGTGGGGCCCCTGCCAAATGGAGACACACTCAGGACAACTGTCTTCTTCCACCGCGGATGTCTTTTCCAAAATAGAAACATGTTGATAGAATTAAGAAGAAGAAGAAGAAAAATGACTCATTGTGTGTTGAACGTTTACATTTCCAATCTTATTGAAAGCTTCATGTCTAGTTTAAGCGCATGCGGATGTGCTTTTTCTAATGCGACCGAAACACATATGCTGCTGAGAAATACCAATGGTCATCACTCACAACAAATCAGGATCACTTTTCAGGAAGGCAGAATCTCAAAGCTCGTGCAGTGAAATAACCTTTGTCTAGTTCTTTGTCACAATGCCAACAACAAAAACAAACAAAAAGCGAAAAAAAATGCGGCAAGCTGATGGGCAGTGCAGCTCCGACCCAAGCACTCAGCAGCCAGCAGGTGGGAGAGAGCGGAGGGAAAGGAAGCGTGGGCAAATGGCAACTGGCATGTTCTAACAGTGTTTCCCAACCGTTAGTGAGTCATGACACATATTTTACAAAATCTCACGGCATACCACTTAGCAAAACGATTTACAAAAAGTGCATATACAGGTCATCTAGTAGAAGAGCATTTCACTGTTATGTTTGTTACTATAAGTGGTTGGCGTATGTAACTAAAACAGTTTTCTTGACTTTAATACAAAATATATATTTTTTGTCAAAATAATTTACATGAAGTTATGTCTCGTGGCAATGTCACAGGCCCTTCAAAAGTCCTGCAACAGTTTACATGTATCATTAAATTTCTTTTAGCCTTCTTGATATGTTGTTGGTCACTTTGACACATTTGAAAATCTAGATTTATTTTTCAGGTTCTCTAAATAATAATAATCATAATAATCATAATAATAATTGAATCTGCTTTGTGTGATATTTTGGGTATGATTAAAACGTAGTCACATTGACCCATGAACATTGATGGTAAGAAACAAACACAACAAGGGGCTTTAAAAATGCACAGATATTTCCAACTTTTTAAACAGATGCCAATTAATCAGATGTCAGTGTGTGTGTGCGTGCGTGCAAGTGCATGTACGTGTTAAATATCTTTCTTTCTTGTTCACCGCAGAGCACTGGAAGGAAACAAAAGGGCCCTTTGAAAGGCACGTGCACTGCGCCGTCACTCAAGCGTCTCCCAGCAACAGAAAGCAGAAATGCACCTGTGGCTCTGGATGGAAGAGCAGATCACGGAGCCTCACGGTTGTCAAAAGCGCAGAGAAATTTCAAACATTCAACTTTCAGCAGTTAATTATTGATTTAAAACAGAAGCCCTATAATTCGAACTGACAATTTGTAGCATCGAATCGGTCGAACTTTATTGTCTAGTAGAATGTAGCCTTAAATGATATTTTCTAATGTTTGGAAAACCCGTACTATTCATGAAAAGTCATCTGTTTTTGTGGAGACTAAATCGATATTCTGCACTTGTCTCGTCATAAATATGATCGAATAATGCATGTGTTGATTTTTCATTTAGACGGTAAAGGAAATGAAATCCTTAAGAAGGTTCAGAATAATAGTGATATTCATGCTAAACAAGTTCTGAAGTCTCAGGGCTTACTGTATATTTGATACTCACAAACACGCACGCACGCGCACACGGCCGCTGTGACGTGCACAGACGCTCGGGCCCGCGCATGCAAATCACGTTCTCGCTCGAGCCCCTCCATTGGCCGCCCGCGCTCATTTAGCGGCTGTCAGCGCGCGGCCCGGGCAAGCTGCGCGAACTTTTGCCAGCACAGCTCGGAGCAAAGTGGCGCACGCACGCCGGGATCCCAGGCTGCCTTCTTCCAAGACGAATGACAGCAAAAAGGGCAACGCGGGGAAGTGAGGAACAAGTTTGCCTCTGAGACCGCTAACGCTCTTTCTCACTCTCAGCATCCTCAAGGGAGGGAGGGTGAGGCGGCCTGAATGTTTCTTCGTGTCTGAGTGATTCGGCCAAGACAAGGTGAATGTACAGCATCATGATGGAGACGGACTTGCACTCCCCCGCGGTGCAACAGACCAACCCGTCCAACCCCGGGGGCCACGGTGGCGGCGGAGGCAAAGTCCCACAGGAGCGAATCAAGAGACCCATGAACGCCTTCATGGTGTGGTCGCGTGGCCAGCGACGCAAGATGGCCCAGGAGAACCCCAAGATGCACAACTCGGAGATCAGCAAGCGGCTGGGGGCCGAGTGGAAGGTGATGACCGAGGCCGAGAAGCGGCCCTTCATCGACGAGGCCAAACGGCTGCGGGCCATGCACATGAAGGAGCACCCGGACTACAAGTACCGGCCGCGGAGGAAGACCAAGACGTTGCTCAAGAAGGACAAGTACTCGCTGGCCGGTGGGCTTCTCGGCAACGCGGCGGCGGGGATGGGCGGCGGGCAGCGGCTGGAGAGCCCCGGTGGGGGGGCCCTGGGGTCCAGCGCGGGCGTGTACACGGCGCACGTCAACGGTTGGCCGAACGGCGCGTACTCCGTCGCGGCTGCGGCCGCTCACGCCATGATGCAGGAGGCGCAGCTTGCTTACACGCAACACCCGGGCGCCGGCGCTCACCCGCACCACCACGCGCACCAGCACCCGCATAATCCGCAGCCCGTGCACAGGTACGACATGAGCGCCTTATCTTACAGCCCCATCTCGAACTCCCAGAGCTACATGAGCGCCTCTCCGCCCGTCTACGGGGGCATCACGGGCTACACGCATCACCAGCACCACAGCGCCGGCATGTCACCCGTGCCGGGGGCGCTCGGGGGAACTCTGGGAACCCTGGTGAAATCGGAGCCGAGCGCGAGCCCTCCCGTGTCCACGGCGCGCCAGCCGTGCCCCTCGGGGGACCTGCGGGACATGATCAGCATGTACTTGCCCACCGGGGACGCGGCGGGTGACTCGTCCGTGCAGGGGCGCCTGCACGTGCTCCACACGCAGCATTACCAGGGAAGCAGCGCCCACGTGAACGGGACGGTTCCCCTGACGCACATTTAAATGTATTTGATGTTTTACAAGCACTAAACCGCAACCAAATACTCCGAGCAGTGGTGGGCCACTGCCGCTCGCGTATAAATTAAGGCGTTTAAGCCATAAAAATGCAATCACCTTGAACAAAGTTTCGCCCCTTCCCCTCTACCCATTCCCAAATGTTTTCTTTCTTTTGTCTGGCCAAGCTTGGCGGAACGCTCACGCTGATTTATTTGAGCTCACGGTAACAGAGGTTGCCACGTTTTCACACGGTTTAAATTATAATCCTCCAAGTCTGGTGCATTATAAATTTTTATTTTATTTAATTTTTCACGTTTTTCTGGAATTTGGGGCGCTGGAAAAAGTGTTTTGGAAAAAGTTTCCAGACAGCAATATGAATTGATTTTAATTTGTAACCCATCTTGTAAACGCGTGAGTCGGTCGGTGTAATTTGATTTTGTTGTTGTAAGTGTTGTTAACGGTGAATAAATATGCCAACTGAAAACGCTTTATGCAACTGTATTGTCAAAAGGAGGAGTAATTCGCTTTTCCCTGCTCACTTAATTTCCCAAACATTTTCGCACCACCATTTTGTTTTTGCTTGAAGTGGGCTTTCGCCGAACGAAATTGAAAGAGCATTATGTCATGAATACAGAAAAAGTGGTTGCTTTGTATTACAAATGCTCCCTCCTGTGATGTCCTGCTATTTATGCTTTAAATGATTAGTTCTCGATTCGATTTTTCTGTCAGTTTCGTTTACCCTTCGAGGGAAGTAAATTGACTAATTCATTTTCAATTGGAACATAAATGATTGTTTTATGTGATACCGCATTATCAGAGCAGTGCTTTAAAAAAACGTTTTTAAATGTAAGATTATTTTCTTTTTTACATATGGATAGAGATTTCACATCTGTATTATCATTTTAATCACATTGGCGGGTAATTCAGTTGTCACACATTCGATGTCTTATTTATCCCTTCATTTGATTAATTTCCAACCGTTTATTTCCCCCCGTTAAAATCACGAAACGTTGCGGAAGAAAAGACACGTGCAAGCCGACACGCATTCTCATACAGCTTTGCTTCAAACGCACTTGCTTTCGCTTTCTACTTCCTTCAACCAAACTGTTCGAATGTATTAATGGGTTCGGGAATGGATTTATTTAAACGCGAAATGATTGTTTTTCAAAGTGCAGTGTGAATGGCCTTAGGCCATGCAGCTCGTTCGTCTTTTATTTCGTTCACGTTTGTTCATGTTAAAATGAGTTGGAGCCCTCGCTACCATCTCGATGATGACGTCAGTCATAGTCATCCCATTTCGGGAATAAATGCTGCGCGTGTATCCGTTGAACTCTGCCAGAAAACGCTGCCATTGTCCAACTTGGAAGCCCAGCAGGACGGCGTGGCCTGCCCGCGTGTTGCTTGGTGAAACAGCGGAGCAGGGTGAGGCGAAGTTGAGAAGTGGTTGCTAAAGGGGATTTGAGTGAGAGCGTTTCAGGCTTGGAGGGGCATGGGCTTGGGTGGTTGCTGGCAACAAACTCCTTGATCCACTCCTACCCCAAGATTTGCAAACAACATCCCTTGAACGCGCCCCCGCGCCCCTGCCCCAAAAATCACTTTGCGATTGACCGTGTACTTTTTTTTTTTTTTTACCGAATTGCTTTACATAAAATTAACATAAACAAATTTAACTGGGTGAGCACGTTGGAGAAATATATATTTATATATATATATGAAAATCAATATGCCAAGATGCAAATGAATATTATTTGAGAAAATTAGGTCCAAGATATCAAAATCCATAACTGTTCATTTGATTGATTTATCATTTATCTGTTCTGCTTGCTCGCATATTTAAGAACTGATTACATTTTTATTGTATTTTAATGCTGCATGGTTGAGCTCTGTTAATAAATGTGACTGATTCTTTTCTCATTTTCTCATTATTCAAGGGAGAACTTAGTGTTTGTGCCGTACTTATTGACTGATTATTACTTTTGAAATTAAAAAATTCATACCAAAAGCCATGACTGATTGATTAATTGAAAACTATAAGGTAACTACAGAATTTACATTGAATACTTCCAAAGAAATAAACGAAGATCAGTAAATATACCACAAGGCTAAAATACTTGATGACCATTTTTACATTATTGGCTAATGTGATTGCTTTACTAAAGAGTGCCACTGTTGGGCCATAAACTAAAACTCTCCCTTCAAAGGCACAGATGAAGAAGAAACTGAGCTGCATGCTATCACCGAAATGGCTCACTTGTGTTTTCCTATTTTGTTGCCTGTGTTAAGACAGCACCATTGTAATTAGCAATTAATACCTGTGGCACAAAACCTGCAGCGTTTCAACACAGCAAATCCTGACAATTAATTGTCACAACAGCAATCTAAGGAGAAAATAAGATGCAGTAGTACAAAATGCTGCCCCAGAAACTGAAATCGGCTGCCTAAGTGCCTACACAGGAATGCTTTGAAAATTGCAGAAGGTTTGTCAAAATCAGGCTATAAATGCAACATTTTGGCACCGGACGACCATCTTTTTCAGCGGTTGAGAAGAAAATAATTGGGCTTTCATCGTCTCGTTTGGATATCTGGTGTACTCCTCAAGCCGCAGTTACTTTGCAGATGTTTTGCTCCCTGCACTCTGCTCCTTTGCTGCGCACAATCGTCATCTAATTTTAGAGCGGTCTAATCACTTTGGGGGTCATGGACTTCAGACATCGGCTCTTGCAAGTAAGTCAGGTTGTGGGGTTTTTTCTTTTTTTCCTTCTGCTTAAATGTCTTGAATAATGCACTTGTTTGTATGCAATCCACGCACATTTTGCCTCGCGTATACAAACTACTGTAGTCTGGTACCTTTCATACTCTGTGGAAATCGACGACAAAAAGAAGCATTTGATTTAGTGATTGTTGCACTTCATTTAAAAGTTGCCCCTATTTAATAAGCTCTTCGCCTCATTGTTCTGACTTGGTGGATTTGGCTGAGTCTTGAGTACTCAAATAAATGAAGTTGGTCAACTCTATTTATGGCCTGTTTAGTGATGAAAATTAAAAAATATGAAGAACCTGACGGGTTATCTTGTCTTGCCACATTATTGTGCTTGACTTAAACCAGTCAATAAAGGGTTAAACAGCACCTACATGGCCTCAACTCATCTCATGACAAACATGACTGTCAGTAATGAATACGTCCATCCATCCATTTTCTGATCCGCTTATCCTCACAAGGGTCGCGGGGGGTTGCTGGAGCCTATCCCAGCCGTCTTCGGGCAGTAGGCGGGGGACACCCTGAACCGGTTGCCAGCTAATCGCAGGGCACACAGAGACGAACAACCATCCATGCTCACACTCACACCAAGAGACAATTTTAGAGTGTTCAATCAGCCTGTCATGCATGTTTTTGGAATGTGAGCAGGAGGAGGACCCGGAGAAAACCCACACAGGCCCAGGGAGAACATGCAAACTCCATACAGAAAGGCCGGAGCCGGAAGTACCTCTGTACTGTGAGGTTGACGTGCTAACCATTGCACCACCGGGCCGCCTTATGAATACGTTGGAAATCAAATTTGGATCCCAAATTTCCCCCACAAACCAACATTCAGTGAGGAACTTCAAGCATCCTCTTAATGGGGCCAGAAGGGATGACAATGATGTCATAAAATCATGAGGTTTTTCTGCCGACGTCATGCATCCAACTCAGTGTGGGTCACATTAGGACCATGCTCCTCTGGCATCCCCCCCACCCCTTACAAACGCACTCAACACCCCCACCCCATTCCTGCATGTTCTTGGTGTCCTAAACATGGATAATTGTCGTCAGTTTATCACGCCCACGCATATCCCCCCCCACCCCCCCACACCCCCCCACCCCGTCTCCTCCTACAAAAGCTTGCACCTCCGTCGTTGGACGCCGTCCTGTCACGGGAGATTACGGGGGGCTGATTGCACAAGACCGAATGTGGAGCGCTGAGATTAGCAGGGCCGCCATTGAAAATAGCAACGGGGCAGACAAATTCTTCACGAGGGGGCCTTATCATGCAATTACACGTTGACACGTTTTTACCATTTTCCAGCCTCCTAATCCGAGAGCCCCCACCCGCTTCCAAATGGAGAACTATTGGAGCTACCGGCTGGCTGACTCCCGCCGGATGCCTGACTTTCTTTTCTCACGAGCAGACCCCACAAACGCAATTGCTTCGCTCGCCGCTGCCCTTAAAAACTGCCTCAGCTAAATGAAAATTTTCAACATGAGGGCCTGATCCATGTGATGGCAGAGAAGATAAATCAGGGAACATCTTGAATGCACCATCAAAATCACTTTCATCTCATTCTATCTCAAACCCGATAAATCAGTTCATTCTGTTTTGAGCCGCCACCTTGACGGGGTTGAACCAAGTCACTAAGCATCAAATGGAGTGCAATGCGTGTTGCTCCACCACATCTTTCTATTCAATTAGAGCCTTCCATGACAATCAATTAGGGAGCCCCCCCTAAATCTCCCCAGGGGGCCAATAATCATCATACACCATCTGCTGACATGGGCACTGGGGAGCACCGCTCAGCAGTAACAAATACTGTTAGGCCAACACCATGATGAATCGCAAAAGAATGCTCATTGAGACTGGAAGTAAATGACAGAATGACAACTGAATGACTGAAACGAGTACTAAAGGACAAGAGCACGATCCAGTGATTGATTGATTTATCTTTTTATTTATTTTTAAAGGGACTGAGTATATCAATCAACACTTTTTACAAAAAGTAAATACACCCGAAATAGCTCAAAGCTAGTTTTTCTCTGTAACCCCTTTACCACATGTTCATAGACACGTCAATAACAATACTCAAGGGACAGATCATGAGGCATCATAGAAACAGAAGAATGAATACAGTGAAAGGCAAAAATAACTGGTGAATAAAAAAAGAAAACATATGTACATTTCATTGTAGTCCCCTTCGTGTTTACATAGTTGGGGATCAACAAGCCAGTTCTCTATATTAAATGGATACATTAAATAAATATCCATTCATCCATTATCTGAAATGCTTAATCTTCACAAGAGTGCTGGAGCCTATCCCAGCCGTCTTTGGGCAGTAGGCAAGGGACACCCTGAACCGGTCGCCAGCCAATTGCAGGGCACATAGAGACGAACAACCATCCACGCTCACACTCACACCTAGGGACAATTAAGTCAAGTCAAGTCAAGTGCGCTGTATGTGCAACATACAGCACAGATGAAATTTCCTCCCTCTCAGAGTGTTCAATTAGCCTGCCATGCATGTTTTTGGAATGTGGGAGGAAACCAGAGTACCTGGAGAAAACACACGCAGGCCCGGGGAGAACATGCAAACTCCACACAGGAAGGCCAGATTGAACCCTGCACCTCTGCACTGTGAGGTCGGCATGCTAACCAGTCAAACGCCAGGCCGCAAATTAAATAAACACTCAAATATAAATAAATAATCAAATCAGAAATAGATTAAATAAAGCAGGATATGATGGAAACTCTCTGACTGGTTGGTGCATCCTATTGGTGTGATGCTCTGAATGAGAATACTGTTTGACTGAATGCTGTGCATCAACTTTTTCTAGCTGGACCTCTGGGAGCAGAGGAGTTGAATTTAATGAAACTGCATCAGTTTTTTTCTACCTCAGGGGGCGGCCATTCCTCCTGTTGCTGTCGACTGAAAATGTTTTCTGAGTTTGGGCTCGTGAAGTTTACAAGTTGAGCCATGAACGGCTGTGACTGAGCCCTCAGCATTGATCATTTTCAGTTGAAAGTAAGTAGCAAAACGGCCGTCCTCTGAAGTGGACAAAAA